TTTATCATGTTCTAAATAGTCATCATCAAGTAAAGAAAGATTGTTACTTGTCATTCTCTAGAAAAAAATAATAAGATAAAATACATAAACATTCTCACAATAATAGAAGAGCTAATACAAAATTTGATCATTGCACTTTTTCCATGTGCATGTAGAAAGTAATCCAACATACCGTTTGTAGTCCTGATGAACTTGGTCATTTGTACTTCTCCAGTTAATTGAGGTTTTTTATCAGTATTGGTTTCCCAGGATCATGTCCATTGAGTTTGATGTAGACTTTTCCATTCCTTGTCCATGTAGACTGGATTTTATTCTGTTTCCTCAGGAGACGTCCATATTTGGCAATCTCACCATTTTTCTTAGTCAGATGTTCATTTAGGTAGATTCCAGTTCGCTTTTTGGATTGTTTAAGTAGCTCAAATCTTGTATTTGAGGCTTGAAAACTGAATCACAATAGTTGGCTTGTTTCTGGGGTCCCTTTTAGGAAATGTGTATCAAGTAGACACATTTTCCTTCTCAATGCTGATGTCCTTGCTGTTAAAGAATTCCAGGAGTGGTTGTTCTAGTGTATGGAGTTCATCAATTGGAGCATCTGCTTCTTCATTGCACCAGCTGCAGCCCTGGCATAGCTCCTGTGCTTTATGTCTAGTCCAGTGATTATTACATCCTTGATCAGAATGTGTTGCTCCATTTCATTCACTTTCATTTCTAAAAGTTCAATGTTCTTGTCTCATAGCGAACTATCTGAATGACGTCACTAAGACACGCCCCCGCCGCCTGTCAACTCCCGCCCACATGTTTCAGACAAACACTGCCAAAATGAATCAAATACCTCTTGTCACTTTAGACGAAAATGATAAACCAGGGGCAAAATTCCACCATCAAACCATCAGGGATCATAGTGTAAACCAATAAAAACGTTGGCTTGAATGTCGTGGTCTTCCAGTGACTGGTAGAAAGTTTGATTTGATAAAAAGGTAATGGTGAGGATTATGCTAACATTATCTAGTCATTTAAATTGCAATGTTAGCGCCTTCTTTGTTTATTTTGCTCTGATTAACTTCCATTTATCAAGTTGTTTTTTGTACTGTCCATTTCGTAATTAGTTTGATCATTTAGTTAACTACAGTCAGCCGATATTATAATAGATCCATGGGGTCACAACGGGCTACACCACTACTGTCTCTGAGAGAGAAACTATCAGAGCTAGCCACACTCAGTAAACGCAAACGACAATCAATCAACATATTTAAATGTTAATGCTAGAATATAATATTCATACAACACACGTGCACAGAGGTTTTCAGAATTATCTGTTAAGGTTTTCATGACAAAAATACTTTTTTAATGCGACTAAAGCGATCGCTTTTTTAAAGTAGGTGAACTAAAACCTTTGGGAACTATTTTCTTTGCACTCATTAAATAAACCTTTTGGCATGAATAGTGACAGAAGTTTATTTTGTGTGTTCAGTTTGTACAAAGCCGTATAATAAGCGGACCCCAACGCGCTTCGTCTGTGCTTATTTTCCGATAGTCACGAAGTTGAAAAAATCCCTCTCATCTTTCTTCAGGTGTGAGAATTGTATACATTCTGGATTAGGACAAACAATACTAATATGGATTGATGGGGCTAACTACATTCAGAAGAGCTCAGACGGACCTGATACAGCGGTCCAGGTCCAGTCCCAGCTAAACGTAGCTAGGACTGGATCTGGAGGCTCCACAGTTGGTCCAGCGAAGTGTTTTGAAAAAACATGTCCTTTTTAACATTTTCATGAGAGAAATTCTGCTGACCACAAGCACCCACCTCTTGCACTTGTCCTGGTCTGGTCCTGGTCTGGTCCTGGTCTGGTTCGATGGTGTGGTTTAACGAACAGGTTGAATGTTACTGCTTTCATATAGTCCTTTTCAGAGTATCTGAAATCGCTCCCACAAGCACCATAACTGCAGTGTTTTGTTGTCACCATGATTCAATGATTTAGCCCAAATAAATACACACGCTTATGTGGAGAACACAGTAGTACTCAACGGAGTCGGACAGAGTTTGTCCGAAACATGCGCGCATGCGCAGTCATTGGAACTATTTTTAGCACATTTCGGAAACCGGACAGTGCCCTATTCAAGTATTTTCTCCTTAAGCTCATGCACCTCCTCCTAGAATTTGATGATTGTTGGTTGTTGTTCTCCAATCTTACTAATCTCTTGACTCATGAAGTTCAGAGATTGTTTTATGTCTTCAAATTCCTTTTTGTTTGCTGTTGCCATCTTGTCAAACGTTTATGGTTACAAAAGATATAATTTTGGTAACTTAGATGAACTGCTTTGAAATGAAACAGCATTTAGGCCCTTGCTTTTTGATGCTCTCAAAATACCTTATCCAATGTCAATCCGTAGTTCAATATTCCCCAAGAAAGACCCAAATTCATTTCTAGGCAACACACATGTTGAAATGGATTATGTTAAATTCCATGGATTTGTGTTGGATTGTTGAGAGACACTGGGAAAAGACATGCAGTAGCAGTAATTATAAAACTATTAAACCCTAGCCAAGAAAAAGTTGTGAATCCACAATCCAACAGGCCATGCTTGTAATAGAACAGAAAGTAATAGAAATGATACAAACTCAGTGTATTACATATGACTACTTATTTTCGTTTTTGCTTTAACATTTGAACAAATGTGTGGTGCCATGTTTTAAAACATAGATCAGCTTAATTTTACATAATAAACTAGCAACCCAAATGAGAGCCTCATTCTGATCTCTGATAGGATAATCTACTGTATTTACTAAGAATCACTCCACTCTAAACTTTTGATCAGAAAAGGTCTAATATTATGTGTATAAGATAAGATATAATAAAATAAGATTTTCCTTTATTCGTCCCACAGTGGGGAAATGTCAGTGTCATCGTTGCGCACATTACAGCAGAGAGAAAGAAGGAAATAAGAGCACTCAGATTGCACACATCAAACGGGGTTAATTATGTAAGATAACACACATCACAATTAAAATAATAGGTAAATAAGAAGATGGTACAATAGAATAAAATAAATATAAACAAAACTCTGGAGCTATAATTGCAGGTATTTACAGATGTGCATATTGTTACTCTAGCAGCAGAGAATATGGCCAGAATAAGTAGTAACAATATAAAGTGAGGAGTAAAATGACAGAAATATCAGATGATCTATTATTGTATCTGGAGACGTCCCTGTCCCTTTATTGCACTTTTAAAAGGTAAAGACAATGGAAACATTTAACGGTACTCATTGTAAATACCTATCTCGGATACGTAAAGAGTAGCACGTATAGTTGTAATTGAAATGCGAGCTGATGGCTGACCTCTAGCTGTCCTTCTCACAATGTTCTTGAGAGACCAAAGACGGAGTCAGAGATGTAAGAATAAACAAATGGTCTTGGCTCTTTGAATATGTGAGGGAGCAGCAGCTTTTAAGTATTTCCATTCAGACCCAAGCAGACAATGTACTGAACCGGCATCAATTACTTTCCACTGTGACATTTAACTCATCAACCACTTTGGCCATTTGCCTTCTACCTTACACATTATAAGTACATTTTACAAAAAAGCGGTTATTCTGAAAATGTTTTAAAGTTGCTCATCTGACTTTAACTGGGGGACATACTGTAGCATAATTCTATGGGAAGTGTGTATATATATATATATATATATATATATATATATATATATATATATATATATATATATATATATATATATATATATATATAAAATGTTAGATCCATGACTGACACCTGCATATGAACGCCTGATCCTTGCAGACTTCAAAAGCTAAGCAGTGCAGGTTACTGTGATGGGAGACCTCTGGGAACACCAGGTGTCACAGTTGGGCAGCTGTGGCTATTAAGTGCCAAATTGCTGTGGTGTCCTTAGGCAAGTCACTTCACCAATGTCACCTTGTATAAGTCTGGTGTGCACGTGAATGGTTGGTGGTGCTCGAAAGGGCTGATGGCATATACAGGTTGCCAGTCTGCCCGCGGACAAGTGTGGCTGACATAAATTACCCCCACCGTGTATCAAGTGAATGATACACGCTTTATGTAACCATTATACCTTCTGCGCTTCGTTATCACCGAGGGCTTGAAAAAATAGGATTGGGTTGCCCTCTGGTGGTGCATGTAGGAGGAAGGTCTCACTCTCAACTAAAGTCCCAGACCGGTTCCTTTTGGACATTTCATGGACAAAGAAAGCGAGCTTTGCTCTCACCCAACAGAGTGACATAGTTATGTTTTATTAATATATATATATATATATATATATATATTATATATATCATACACACATGTACCCATATTATACATTATCTTTCAAATAATTATTTTATCCAACGCAAGATTTAAAACCAAACTTTTTCATCCTATAACTCCTCTCATTTGGGTTGCCAGCTTTCAAATTGAGCTGGTTAAATTGATCACGTTTTTACATGCAAATTAGATACTTCCAAAGCCATTAAATGTATCAGACACCATTTACACCAGTAAGAAAAAAACCTGCAACAAATGTTGAAAAAGTCATGTTTTAATACAACACAATTTTGTGCAGTTCAAAATATCAAGTCAAGGTCAATAATAAAACAGAGCACCATTTCATATTTGCCGTTTAGTTTTTGTCCAAAAGGTTTCTTTGAAAAAAGGTTGTATTATAGTAAATATTTTAAAACACAAAATAATCACAGGAACAAGTTCTGTATATAAAAAATGTTTAACTTTTTTCAGTATAAAACATTACAGAATGCAAAGCCAATCAAACAAATTCACTGTCAACTGAAATGATGAACCTTTAGGTCAAACTTTAAATGACATACAAAAGGACTTTGATTAGAGGTTTCTGTATTTTTGTCTAAATATGGGAATAAAAACACAAAGTCTAACAATCACATTTTGCTAAAACAACATAAAAAAGGACAAAAGTGAAATCCTGGTCCAATTAAACACCAAGCCCAAATATTCAATGTGACATCTACACAGTCTTCTGCTGGCCCTTCTTCCCAATAAGGGATTTGTGGATGTGGGGAATAACACCTGGGAAAAGAAGGTTATGGATTTAAATAAACAGGTCAGTGATAAAGCAACACGTAACTGAATATCAAAAATATTGGCAATGATCAAGTTTAAAACCATATTTTCCTTTAAGCCAACCTAAATGTTAATCAATATGCACAAACTTCAATATCTTACCTCCTCCAGCAATTGTGGCTTTGATGAGAGAGTCCAACTCCTCATCCCCACGGATTGCCAGCTGCAAGTGACGGGGAGTAATACGTTTCACCTTCAAGTCTTTTGAGGCATTGCCAGCTAACTCAAGCACCTAAGAATGAGACAACAGATCATGAAATGTTAAAGCCAAATGCAGGAGCAGGCAGATTATGTATCGTTGAAGGGCTTACTTCAGCTGTGAGGTACTCGAGGATAGCTGCACTATACACAGCGGCCGTGGCTCCAACTCTACCATGGCTTGTTGTACGAGTCTTTAAGTGCCTGTGGATACGGCCCACTGGAAACTGTAAAAATTATTCAAACATAGTATTTCAAAAAGGTAGAAAGAGCACAATTACAGCATAAAGATTTGTTTAAATGTACCTGAAGACCAGCTCTTTGAGAGCGTGATACTGCCTTGGCCTTGGCTTTTCCACTGTCTTTTCCTGCTTTGCCACCAGCCTGAAATAATTGAATACTATTAGGGGGGAAATGCAAAAAAGGAAAAAACATTAAAGTTACATTACAAAAATACACGTGGCCATAAAGAAAAATACAAGAAAAGTGCTCAGACATATGTATTTACAGACGCTGTCACTTTCCCGCCAATACAAAATAATAACGTTAACATAAATCTTCAGCATACAACACTGTTAATTCTCTTTTGACAAATGTCTAAAATTGGCCACGAGATCAATAAGAATCATTATTGACAGAGTACACAGCGTTTGTTATTAGGTGCATCCAGTGCGCGTCAAAACCAAAACAAACCTGCGGCGCCACTTTTAAAAACTCCGTTTTCAACAGCAAATTAAGATTTAAATGCTTGAAACCACTTCATTTCATCCTGGCAGAGTGTATAAGCTGGAACGCAGTCCACGAAGAGCATTCTTAAATAGTATCTATAGATGCAATAACAGTTAAATACGTAAAAACATACAATGTTCTAACCCAGTCAAACGTTGAACAGATATTAACTTAGCATGACGCGGTAGCAACTAACGCCATCAAACCAAAGAGAAACGAAGCGAACTTGGAAACAAAAGGTTTTGCACAATTGCCAGCAGGTCATATAATTACTAGTTTTCAAACATAAAACCTTTTCTCATTCTTACCAGATTTAGTCTCTCTGATCTGTGATTTGCGCCGTAAGGGCGAGCGCTTTAGCTTGCCATTGTAACAGCGCTTTGCTAAATTCCCCTTCAAACTTAAAACACTCGTTTTAGGTTATGAGGAACAAATACAATCATACACGAGCACTTGTTGTGGCTTTACACGAGATCCCAGTGTACATACCATTTTTCCGTTTTGTTATTTGATTGAAGAACCAAATCTATGGCCAATAAATTCGGCTCCCGAAAGCAAAGAAACAATAAACCTTTTCGGAAATGTTTCACATGCAGAGCCTCGTGGGGGGCTCGATGACCAATCAGATTCCCTGTTATTACTTCGAATATCAAATCTGTCCAATCCACGCACACGTTGCACACTGTGCCCATCCCCCACCAGATCACGGCAGCTTTGCACACGACCCAAGCTGTAGGCGGGACTATGGAGTGTCCTTCACGGACAGCTTCGTAAACAGTCTCTCGTAGGACTTAAAATGTCACAAAATGAAGAAAGTCTACTCTAATGACAGAGCAATGCTATTGAATGGCAATAGGTCATATTTAGTGGTTGTGCTGTTTATTTATTGTGGACATGTAAAGCATTAGCCATCTTCAACAAACGGCCCAAAATAAATTACTACATGTAAAAAATGTTTAAAAAAAATTCTACATGGTATTCCATAATTACAAACGCATGCACCTTTGTACACCAGAAACATATTACTCTCCTAAATATTAATCACAGACAGGGAAATAAGCCAATCAAAGCGTTGAGTTTTAAATTGACATTTCCCTCGGCCAATTGCAGTGGTCCCCCGCGTGTCCGCTGTAGTCTGTGGGCTCGACAGGCTGAGGGGCGGGGCAGGAGGGCTGAGGGGCGGGGCTCAGGGGCGGGGGTCACCGAGTGCAGAGAGACGGGCTGCTGGTGTGAAGATGGCGGATGGGGACAGTGGCAGTGAGCGCGGTGGCAGTAGCGGTGGAGGAGGAGGTGGTAGTGGCGGTGGCGGTGGCGGTGGCGGAGGCGGCGGCGGCGGAGGCGGTGGAGGCGGTGGTGGTTTCCAGCACTATCAGCGGGAGTCGGAGACTCAGGAGCTGGCGTCGAAGCGCCTGGACATACAGAACAAGCGCTTCTATCTGGACGTGAAGCAAAACGCTAAAGGCCGGTTCATTAAGATCGCCGAGGTGGGAGCCGGGGGCTCCAAAAGTCGCCTGACCCTGTCCATGTCTGTCGCTGCGGAGTTCCGTGACTATCTGGGGGATTTTATAGAGCACTACGCGCAGTTGGGGCCTAGCACTCCTGAGCAGATCGCGCAGTCCTCCGGTGGGGATGACACCGGGCCTAGACGGGCCTTAAAGAGCGAGTTCCTGGTGCGGGAAAATCGCAAATACTACCTCGACCTTAAAGAAAACCAGCGGGGTCGCTTTCTCCGTATCAGACAGACCGTGAACCGAGGCCCGGGCTTCGGAGTGGGAATGGGCGGCATGCAGGGAGCTGGCATGCAGGCTGGTCAGACCATCGCACTCCCGGCCCAGGGCTTAATTGAGTTCCGTGACGCCCTGGCAAAGTTGATAGACGACTACGGTGGCGATGAGGAGGAACTGTCCGGTGGCGGAGGGGCAGGGGGCTACAGCGAGCTCCCAGAGGGCACATCCATCATGGTGGACTCCAAACGATTCTTCTTTGACGTGGGGTCCAACAAGTACGGAGTGTTTCTGCGAGTGAGCGAAGTCAAACCCAGTTACAGAAACTCTATAACTATCCCATTTAAAGCTTGGAGTAAGTTTGGAGGCGCGTTCAGCCGCTACGCAGAGGAGATGAAGGAGATCCAGGAGCGGCACCGGGATAAGATGTACGAGAGGAGAACCGGAGACGAGTCTGAGGGTGACGATGTGGACGACGATTGAACCAGCGCTGCTGCTCGGGATGAAGCTGACAACATGATGCAAAGCGTGGAGATTAACAGAAAGAGCGGAGCGACTTATGTGCATGACGAACTTTTAAAACAACGGAGTTAATTAAAAGTATATTTGACTGAGAAATTTACCGTCTATATAAGAGAATGATGTTTAAGTGTAGGTGGATGTTATAGATACATGAAAACAGACTGCAGTAGTCGGCTCCTGTTTGAGATTCCCCTAATTAAATAATATATAAGTATATGATTGTCCGTTTGATAACCTCAAGCAGCCCAACAGATTAAGCTTGGCTGTGTTGGAGACACAGCAGTATGCACCAAGTTCCACTTCCTTGTTGTGCAGTGCTATAGGTCACCTGGTGCAGATCTTCTTTGATGATTCAGGGGCAGGGTGAGGAGACAGCCTCCATTCTGTCACCGGGGCTCTTGTGTATGTGCTTTTTTTGTCCCGAATATCTCAGCCGGACTAGTGCAGAACAACCACAACCCAGAGAGCCATCTTGAGGCGAGCATGCTGGGCATGGCAGGGCAGCCACAGCCATTATGGTTATCTGTTTCAAGCACATCGCTCATTTGAATTTTGAGGACAATCCAAATGAGCCTTATTGGCCCTGCTTACCTAGTTGCTCCTCCTTTGAGTGCACTTGTGCCTGAGGATTGGCCTGTCCCACTGTTGGGGGTCTATCAGCATTGCTCTGTATCAGACTCGTGTGTATCTTGTTTGATGCAGGTCCATGTGTTGTATGACCTCTATGACCTTTGTCTCTGATGGGAGCAGGTCTTAAGCATTGATCTCCACGATAAAGCTTAATATTGCTGGGCTTGAATGACCGTCTTCAGGGAACTGGCCTCGTTGACGTAACATTGGGTGCACCATTTGGATCCTTTAATCTTGAACTCTGACCAATAACGACTGAAGCAGATTCAGTCTGATTGTAAGAATTTAGGTGCTTTTGGAAAACAAAAACCCATCAGCCGGGTGCTATACTGAAATTATATAGGCCTATATAGCTTACTGAAAGAGATTTACTTACAAAAAATCAATTATATATAGAATTATTTTTCAAAAGAGATTTATTGCAATATGTCTTTAGAGATATAATACATTTATTAAATAATGCTGCCTAAAGTGGCTTATTTAAAACACTAAGCTTGGATGAAAAAGTCCAGGGTAATATTTCATACTTGCTTTTTCCTAACATTTCTGTTGTTCCTCAGAGGAAGTAAAAATAGTAAAAAAAAATTGATGACAGTATGTTTTTGCAATTTCTATTAAATCAGATATGACTTAATTGAAGTAGTTTGTCAGCAAACTTTCAGCACTCCAGTTCACTTTATAAAGCATCAAGTTGTCCCCTTGTTTCAGTCCACCCTTCATGTTTTCTCACTGTTCAGCTTTCAGTCTGTTGCCATTTGATGCAAACTTCTGCAACATTTGGTCTGTAGTGTTCTTTTCCAAAATGGTCATTTTTTTGCATGCCTGCTCTTATGCGGAGCTGCCTTGTGTTTCTTTTGCATATTCTGATTGCTGTATGATGGTATATTTATCCATTTTGAGAGCAGTTTTAAGATTTCTTTATGTATTGCATTGGAAAGTTTATTCTCAGCCTAATAAGCCACATAGTTCCCACGCTTGGGGAATGTCACATTCATTGTCCCGCTTCGACATCTCGTTGAATTTTACTTTAGTCAAGTTGACAAAGCAGAGAAATGCCATACAAAAAATCTACACTTGGGAGCAATATTTTTCTTTTCTATTGAAGTGTATATGATATTACACCTGAATCTGATCTTCATCCTTCCTGTACTGTGTTATGTGAAATGGCAGCTGTTTCAGTCAAGTGTGTTCTGCTGTAATATTCTACAAAGTTTCTTTCAACGAGAAATAAATCTATGTTTTTGCTCAAGAGAGGTGTGATCATTGGATTTGAGTCAAGATGGTTACACAATATTATTATGTTCACCTGTTTGTGGCTTTATTTTTTAAATAAGTGTTTTACCACAAGGAGGAGCTATACTGAGATACAGCCGTGACCTTGTGGGATTCCTTTGTAGCTACATTTCAGCTGTAGCTGCAGCAGCTGATGCATGACTTTAGGCCTAGAAAAGACAGTTAAGAAATTTTAGATCTGATTTCAATTTAATTGTAGTTGTTTGACACTAACGTGGTATAGGAATAAGCTTTGCCTAGCACATGAATATGACATTTTTATTTCTCCTAAACTATACTTGAATGAATCAATATTAATGACAAAAGTTTTGGCTCATAACCTATGTCCTTGAAGATGATTCAATGCACTGTAGGTTGGTTTAGGCAAGCACCTGCTTTAGCCATGAAAATGGTAGAGGTAATGATAATCCTTCATTTGTTCAATTTGTGCTCAGACCCTGTCACAAACTATGGATAACATTCATTTGAAGCTAGCCTTTCTTTCACAGCATTTTCTATCAATACCATCCTAGAAAACTATAACAAAATATATTGTATTTTAATTTATATTTGTATTACTTCCATGATACAGAGTTGTATACATTAGATGTCATGATTTTTTTTTATTGAAGAATGAAACATTGTCAAAATTCATACATTCACAATTTTTGTGCCCAAGTTTGGCTTTGAGTTCAGCAATTTATTTTTCATTTCATTTGGATTAGACTTTGACCAATAAAAATGATCACAATAGTCAGCATAAAATAAACAAACTATCATTCATTAACCATAATTTCAATTCATAATTATTTAAACTTGATTGCATAAATTCTTGTAGCTTGGACTAGACACAATGGTTTGATGTACATGTGTTATGTTAACTATCTTTGCCCAGACTTTCCCCTCTCTTCCTGGTCAAAAAATGTGTTGATTGCAGGGAAATTGTTCTTGTAAGTACCATCCATCCATCCATTATCTACCCCTTAATCCATTTCTGGGTCGGGGGGGTGGCAGTCAGAGATGCCACCCAAGTCACATAGCACCAGCCCCTCACTGATTCTCTGCAGGTGGTGAGTCCACAGGAGGACGGCTGCTCCGTAAGTGTGAGCATAGCCTTGATCTTTCAGCGGGGGCTTTGGGCAATTAGGGGTTAAGTGTCTTGCCCAAGGACACAACGACAGCAGTCATCAGTGGGAGTCGGTGAAGAGGGTTGGGGTGGGAATTGAACCCACGACCTCCAGGCCTAAAGGCCAATGCTCTACCAACTGAGCTACTGAAAAAAAAAACCTGATTTAAAAGTGCATTCCTCAACTGCCCTGGTGGTGACATGTTTTTGGTGAAGTATTTTGATCCTTTTTCTTGGGATAAATAATATGTCATCGCTTTGCCTTATCCACAGTGAGAAGACTCCCCTCTCCATAGAACTTGTAACTCAGGCTAGTGATGACATCCTTGTTTCCAATGTAAAGGAAACGTTTATTGTTCAAAACAAATATTCAGAAAAAGGACAACACCAGGACAGTTGAGGAATCCCCTTTGAATCAATTACCCTTTTCTTTTTGTATGGGAGTATTACATCATACTAACATGGTAGAAAGCTTAGAAAAGTCCCATCCAGATTCAGAGGTTGCACAGAGGAGACGAGTGTGGCTGTGATGTGCGTGTGAGGACAACTCAAGGGCATGTAGTATTACCGGGCGAGCTGCCAGCAAGAGGGAGGGAGAGAGTCGGATTAGTTCACATGACTCTGGTGACCAAAGCATGCTGTCACTCCATCATCACTGCATGTGACAGTGCAAAAGACAGAATGTTGCACACTTCTGTCTTTTGCACAATCTGAGTGATTTTATCCATGCCAAATGTTACATGTAAATTTCTCCAGTGTGAGATCAATAAAGTCTATCTCATCTTATATACAGGTATTTGTAGTGCTCCGGTTTTATCCAGATGCTCCGGTTTCCCCTACCACTAAAAGCAGTTTACAATTGGTAAAATCCCCCAGCTCCAGTAGTTTTGACCAAGCCAAGCATCAACATCTGGAGATGGGTTCCCGGGCTACTCCTGATAAGACGCCCTAGTGGCATTTGCAGGATGAGTCAAATGCAGAGGATATATTGCCCTGCGGAGATACATAAAGTGCACCTTTATATTCACAAAAGCTATATAACTAGTATGGATTTGCATTATGTTCTGAATGGCTTTGGGCATTGCAGACGACTGAACATACCATGGAATCTTACACCTGTCTCATCATCCATTATTATAGGTGTACACTTTTTACTTGTTCAAAAAACGTGACCAAAAAAAATAGATAGAAGCACAATAACTGAAATGTGTTGTTTTGTTTGCATAAATATTGCAGATATTGATTGTAAGCAGCAGATTGGGGATCCCTGTCCTGCTCAGCTAAAATCTTACAGTGATGAACGAGGGGATGCATGGGGGCTATTTTTAGCCAGTGTTACCATGTGTGGGGAACGCTCTTTGCGTGCATGCTAGGCATACTGTAATTTTCAACATAATCAGCTCAATTCCACCCTGAGGACTCAATTCCAGGGCTTATCTGGCGGTATATCTTTCTATATCTTTCATATATGTACAATAAAGCATCAATGATCTTTATAAGGGTTTGGGTGAGACACAAAACAGTATAGCCATTTTCACTCTGCAGCCTTTATCGGACCCATGTTTAATAACACTTGTGCTACCTTTGGGTCAAAATTACCCACCACAGATGATTTAAATTAGGAGAAAAATACCTAAATTAGGATCTAAAAGGGTATAAATGACTCAGGGCCAGTCAAGTTAGGATATATAATCAACATTTAGCTCAAAAATGTTTTATTTAGGGAGTTTTGAATGCCTGTGGCAGGTATTTTTGACCCGAGCATATTACAATATGTTACCCATGTTGAAAGCCAGGTTGAGGAGGCATCAGCGGTCAATGTGCTGTAATAAAAAATTAAAAAATACATTCAATCTTATATTGCACTTTTTTGAACACTCAAAGACGCTTTACAGAAGAACAGGAACAGAGGAAACTGTGTTACAACAGACTA